TATATTTCTACCTAAGTATTTCATTTTTTGAACTATTATCAATGGTGTTGTGTTTATTCCAGTTTCCACAAGTTCATTGTTATGAAAATAGTGTGGATTTTTTAGAACTGTCGTGTATTCTGCAACTTTTCTGAACTCACTTATTACTTCAAGAAGTTTTTGGTAGATTCTTGGAATCTTCTACATAAACCATCATGTCATCTACAAATGGCAGTTTTATTTCTTCTTTTCTGATCTGTATCACTTTTATGCCTATATATCCTTTCCTTTGGCTAGAACTTCCCAAATTCTGTTGAATAGCACTGAAGAGAATGAGTATCCTCACCTGTTCCCAATTTTAGGAGCAAGCATTTAGTCTGTAACTATCAAGTAGGATGTTAGTTATAGGTTTTTATGTAGATGTTGTTCATCAGTTGCGGAAATTGCCCTCTATTCCTTGCTTTCAGAGATTTTTAAGATATTAAGTAGATGCTGAATTTTGTCAAATTCTTTTTGTTCATCAGTGTATACCATCCTGTGATTTTTCTCTTTAGACCTGAATATACCCAACTTGGCCATTGTGTATAATTTCATACTCATAGCTGAGTTCTATTTGCTAAATTTTTAAAAGACTTTTGTGTCTATATTCATTAAAGATACAGAACTATGGTTTTCTTTTTTGTGTGCTATTTAGTCTGCTTTTGCTAGTAGGATAATACGGGATTCACAGAATAAGTTGGAAAATGTTCTTTTCACATCTATTTTCTGAAAGAAATTGTATAGAATTAAGTTAATTCTTTTTTATACGTTTAGTGAGTTTTCCAGTGATATTTTATACGTTTTTAAATTATAAATTCAATTCTCTTCATGGCTGTATGGCTATTCAAATAATCAGTTTCATATGGGTTAGTTTATGCTTCTCATGTTTGTAGTATTCTCTCACTATCATTTTTTTCTGTCTGCAGAGTCTATAGTGATACCTCCGTTTTTTCCTGACTTAGTAATTTGTATCTTCTCTCTTTTATCTTTGCCAGACCTTCTAGAGGTTTGTCAGTTTTATTGATTTTCTTCAAAACCCGCTTCTTGTTTCATAGTGTCTTAAATTGTTTTTCTTTTTCCAGTTCATTGAGTTCTGTTCTTAGATTTATTATTCTACATATTTTAAAATTTTTTCTTCTTTTTCAATATTTTTCAAGTAGAAGATTATATCGATGATTTGAGGCTTTTTCTTTTTTAGTGTAAGCATTTAGTGCTATGGGATGCCCACTAAACACTGCTTTAACTGCATCCCATAAATTTTAAGTATTGTATTTTCATCCAGTTCAATATTTTGTATTTCCCTTGTGACTACCTCTTTGACCCAAGGATTGTTTATAAATGCATTGTTTTGTTTCCAACTGTCTGGAGAGTTTCCTGTTACATGTCTGTTGTTTATATCTTGTTCAATCTCATTGTGGTCAGGAACACACACTGTGTGAATTCCATTCTTCTAAAATTATATGGATTATGTATAATCTATCTTGATATACATTCTACAAGTGCTGGAAAAAATATGTATTCTAGTCATGTGAGATGGACTGTTCTATAACTGTAACTGATATCCTGTTGGCTGAAGGTGTCAAGTTCTTCTATATCCTTGCTGATTTTCCATATAGTCCTACAAATTGTTGAGAAAGGAATATTAAAATCCCCAATTATAGATTGGCCTTTACCTCAATTCAATTTTTTTCAGTTTTTCCTTTATATATGTTGTAGTTTACTTGTTTGGTGCCTACACATTTAGGATTGCTATTTCTTCTTGATTAGCACTTTTGTTATTATGTAATGTTCTTCTTTGTCCTTGGTAATATTCTTTGCTGTAAAATATACTTTATCTAATATTTACATAGCCATACTTTCATTCTTTTGATTAATGTTTGCATGAGATATGTTTTCTTCCTTTTATTTCAAACCTACACATATCATTATATCTGAAGTGAGTTTCTTGTACACAGAATATGATTATGTCATTTTTCTATCCACTCTTCCATATCCTTTCTTTTAGTTATTATTAAATGAAAGAACCATGAAACATCTGAAGGTTAAGAAAGTGGAAAGAGGCCGGGCACAGTGGCTCATACCTGTAATCTCTGCACTTTGGGAGGCTGAGGCCGGCGGATCACTTGAGGTCAGGAGTTTGAGATCAGCCTGGCTTACATAGTGAAATGCCATCTCTACTAAAAATAGAAAAAGTAGCCGGGTGTGGTGATGGGCACCTGTAATACCAGCTACTCGGGAGGCTGAGCAGGAGAATCACTTGAACCTGGAAGGCAGAGGTTGCAGTGAACCGAGATCACACCACTGCATCCAGCCTGGGCGACAGTGAGACTCAAAAAAATAAAAAGAAAGAAAAGCAAGTAGAAAGAGCAAAATACGACAGTCTTTTATTCTATCTTGAGTTTTTAAAATGATGATTGAGGGTTGAAGCAAAAATTGTAACACTGTCTAAGGCAGTTCTCAGTGTATGTGGAGGAAATGGTTAAGACAATTATATTTATATTGTAAGTGGGAGACAGTAAAGAAATGAAAAAGGAAGTAAACTTTCCACACGTCACTAAAACTGGTAAAATGGGCACAAGTTATGATTATACAAACATACCTCAGAGACATTGTGGGTTTCGTTCCAGACCACCTCAATTAAGTGACTCTCACAATAAAGTCAGTCACACAAATATTTTGGTTTCCCAGTGCATACAAAAGTTATGTTTATACTGCACTGCAGTCTATTAAATGTGCAATAGCATTATGTCTAAAAAAGTATATGCCTTTATATAAAAATACTTTTTGCTAAAAATGCTGACACAAGGATATTAAATGAGCATGTGCTGCTGGAAAATGCTGCTAATAGACTTGCTTAATGCAGGATTGCCACAAACCTTTAATTTTATTTTTTAAAAATGCAATATCTGTGAAGCACAATAAAACAAGCCATGCCCATATAATGCAACAGCTAGAGCAGCCACTAAAAAGGGCTATACAGATATCTAATAAAAACACTATACAAAAAAAATCACTATAACTGCACCAAAATGGGATTATAAGAAAAAGTTCAAGTGGCCCACAGAAACTCAGGAAAAAGAAGAGAGAAACAAAAAACAAAAAGAATAGTTAAAATAACGAAATGGCAGGCAACTTTAGAGCATCAATGACCACATAAAATATAGTTTTCTTCATTTTTAAAACAATAAAGGTCATGAATTCCCATTATAAAAGTGAAAGTTCAGAAGTTCGTAAGTTTACAAAATAATGTTCTTTTTTACCTAATGCCACACCCATGAATAACTATACTCGAATTTGGTGTGCACATTTTCTGGCATTTAGCCACAAATAAATAAAGAGAATGAAAGCAAGAGACATTAAGAGTGATGGAGAGTTTAGTTTTTCAAATGGTCCAAATCTACATATTTTTCTACAACATGCTTTTCTCTTTTGACTCCATAAGAGTACATATTTATCTCTCTGCCTTAGACTAGGTATTAATAAATAATATAAATCTACTGAAATGTATACAATTCTATTTCCTGATTTTGCTATTAGAAGATTTTTGTTAATTTGTTTTCAATGCAAGTTACACAATATTCTATTATATATAATATGAATGTTATTGATACTATAAACAAGTGAATGAACATATTAACTTCTAGATGAGTTCTGTGATCCCCATTGTGCAGGGGAAGTAACTAGGGCCAAAGGAAATTATATGCTTTTTTCCATTAACTGGTGAGACAAAAATTCAAAACCAGGGTTACCTATTTCCTTTCCACTGCACAAGGTTGACTATTAATGAAGCCTGAGAGACCCAGCACTACCCATATGTTAAGCATGTTTAAAATGCTAGGGTAAACCCCCCATGGCATGAGTTTACCTATGTAACAAACCTTCACATGTACCACCAAATATGAATGCTTAAAAAAAGCTTGGATCGTTGGCCATTTTCTTTGTAGCATCCATTTGATTAGAAAACACCTTCAACATAGATGAAACAAACTACTTCATATTGAACCAGCCAACAATTTGCTCAATATAAACATAGAAATGTACAGATTCTGTGCGTGACTGGAAGGGGGTTACACTAGTTTCCTTAGCTCTTGAAAAGCATCCTCATATTTTCATATTATTTTATTTAAATCCAGATAATTAAAGTCAAGTTGATATGATAAATGTCATTATTCTGTCACAATTCTAACTGAAGTAGACTTCTGGCCTATTCAAGCTTCCTCTAGTAAGTGTTTATCCAAATGAAAGAAACAGTTTTTGAAAGGACTGCATTTCTTTCATTTTACAGTAAATTTACCCTAGGAAGAAACTTATACTAACTTAATATACCTCAATATTCACTAAATGTTAAATTGAAAAGAATTGTTTCTGCTTTCTTGTTCCTCCACTACAGAACAGAAAAAAAAAAAAAAAAAAAAAAGCAATAGAAAATGTAAGGCTCTCAGACATCCATTATATAACAGGTTTATTTTGCTTGTAAAGCATATCACCTAGATGGGAGTTGCAGTCTAAGGTAATACAAAGATACTTTGAAGACTTCAAACGTATGTAAAGCGTGAACATATTTAGGGAAATTTAACTGTAATTTATTCAACTAATTTCAAGAGCTTTATCCAAAATTAAAATAGTAGGTGGCTGTGAATAATTATAGGTTTCTAAAGGGGTACAAAATTATGTTTTAATATTACTTTAGGTATGGATGCCTGTTTAATATATTGAAAAATTGTTCATCTATATTTCTAAGAACTACACACATTAGAAGTCAGTCTTCTTCTGAGACAAACTTTTTCATTTTGAAGACAAATTCATTTCCTCTTTCATCAAGTAAATCACTCTTTACTTGATGATTGTAAGTAAATTTTTATATTTGAGATGTAAATAACACTATTGTGAGTATTTGTCATGAAAATCCAAATAGAAAAATGTGACATGAAATATAGAGCCATTTCATTCCGAGAAGTCTCAAAGATTCCCTTCTTTTCTGGGTCCTTCATTTGGTCCTTTCTAGACTTTTGGTAGCCATGGCACGAGGAAACAGCACTGAAGTGACTGAATTCTGTCTTCTGGGATTTGGTGCCCAACAAGAGTTTTGGCATATCCTCTTCATTGTATTCCTTCTCATCTATGTGACCTCCATAACGGGTAATACTGGAATAATCTTACTCATCAACACAGATTCCAGATTTCAAACACCCATGTACTTTTTTCTACAACATTTGGCTTTTGTTGATATCTGTTACACTTCTGCTATCACTCCCAAGCTGCTCCAAAGCTTCACGGAAGAAAAGAATTTTATATCATTTTGGGGCTGTGTGATACAATTCTTAGTTTATGCAACATTTGCAACCAGTGACTGTTATCTGCTGGCTATGATGGCAGTGGACCGTTATGTTGCAATCTGTAAGCCCCTTCACTATACCATAATCACATCCCAAAGAGTCTGCATCCATTTGGTAGCTGGTTCATACATCATGGGCTCAATAAATGCCTCTGTACATACAGGTTTTACATTTTCTCTGTCTTTCTGCAAGTCCAATAACATCAATCACTTTTTCTGTGATGGTCCCCCAATTCTTGCCCTTTCATGCTCCAGTATTGACATCAACCTCATGCTACTTGTTGTCTTTGTGGGATTTAACTTGATGTTCACTGGGTTGGTCATCATCTTTTCCTACATCTACATCATGGCCACCATCCTGAAAATGTCTTCTAGTGCAGGGAGGAAAAAATCCTTCTCCACATGTGCCTCCCACCTGACTACAGTCACCCTTTTCTATGGGACGCTCTCTTACATGTACTTACAGTCTCATTCTAATAATGCCCAGGAGAATATGAAAGTGGCCTCTATATTTTATGGCACTGTTATTCCCATGTTGAATCCTTTAATCTATAGCTTGAGAAATAAGGAAGTAAAAGAAGCTTTAAAATTGATAGGGAAAAAGTTCTTTTAAATTAGCCCCAGTTGTTAACATTTAGCACAACAAATCATCCCGCATAGCTGTTCTACCAAAATTTAATGTTTCTACAATAGGAAACATGTAGAAAGATGTCAAATTAATAATCAAACATCACATGTAGAGGAATTAGAAAAACAAGAGCAAATCAACCACAAAGCTAGCAGACGACAAGAAATAACTAAAATCAGAATAGAACTGAACAAAATTGAGACCCAAAAATTTATATAAAAAATTAATGAAACCAAAATTTGTTTTATTGAAAGGATAAATAAGATTGGTAGGTTGCTAGCTAGATTCACTAAGGTAAAAAAAAAAAAAAAAAAGGAACAATCCAAATAAGCACAACCAGAAAGGACAAAGGTGACATTACAATCAATCCCACAGAAATACAAAAGATACTCAGAGAATATTTTGAACACTTTTATGCAAATAGACTAGAAAATATAGAAGAAATGGATAAAATCCCAGCAAACCACAAACTCCCGATCTAATAAGGAAGAAATTGAAACCCTGAGCAGACTAGTATCAAGTTCTGAAGTGAAAACTGTACTAAAAATCTACCAACCAAAAACAAAGTGCAGACCAAATGTATCTGCAGTCAAATTCTACCAGATGTAAAAAGAAGAGCTGGTGCCAATTCTACTGAAATTATTTCAAAAATTGAGCAGGAGGGACTCCTTTGCAATTCATTCTATGAAACCAGCATCAGGTCTCTAATACCAAAACCTGGCAAAGACACAACGAAAAAAGAAAACTACAGGCCAATATTCCTGATTAACATAGATTCAAAACCATCAGTGAACCAAATTCAACAGCACCTCAAAAGTTAATTCACCATGATCAAGTAGGCTTCATTCTTTGGATGCAAGATTGGTTCAATACATGCAAATCATGAAATGTCATTCACCACATAAACAGCATTTAAAACACAAACCACACGATCTCAATAGATGCAGGAAAAGCCTTCAATAAAATGCAACATCCCTTCATTATAAAAAATTCTCTACAAACTAAGCATCAAAGCAACATACCTCAAAATAAGTGCAATCTATAACAAATTCACAGCCAATGTCATAATGAATGGGCAAAATCTGAAGGCATTCCCTCTTGAAAACTGGAACAAGACAAGGGTGCCCACTCTCACCATAGTTCAACATAGTTCTAGAAGTCCTAAGCAGAGCAATCAGTCAAGAGAAAGAAACAAAAGGCACTCAAATAGGAAAAGAAGAAGTCAAACTATCTCTCTTTGTGGACTATATGATTCTATATCTAGATAACTCTAAAGACTCTGTCAAAAGGCTCCTGGAGCTGATAAATGAATTCACTAAATTTTTAGGTTACTAAATCAATGTACAAAAATCACTAGCACTTCTAAATATCAGTAATGTTAAACCGAGAACCAAATCAAGAATACAATTCAATTAATAATAGCTACCAAAAAAATAAAATATCTAGGAATACATCTAACCAAGTAAACGAAATATCTCTACAAGGAGAGAATTATAAAACACTACTCAAAGAAATCAGAGAGGACATAAACAAATGGAAAAACAGTCCATGCTCATGGATTAGCATAATCAGTATCATTAAAATGGCCATACTACCCCAAGCAAACCACAGATTCAGTGCTATTCCTGTCAAATCACAATGCCATTTTTCACAGAATTAGAAAAACTATTCTAAAATTCATATGAAACTGGAAAAGAACCCAAATAGCCATAGCAATCTTTAGCAAAAAAACTAAGCTGGAGGCACCATATTATCTGATTTCAAGACATACTATAGGGCTACAGTAGCCAAAACAGCATGACACTAGTACAAAAACAGTAACATAGACCAGAATAGAGAACCTAGAAAGAAAGCCACATACACACACACACACAGACACACACGGCTATCTGATCTTTACCAAAGTCAACAAAAGTAAGCAATGGAGAAGGGACTTATTCAATAAATGGTGCCGGGATAATAGGCTAGCAATATACCAAGAAAATAAAACTGAACACCTACATTTTACCATATACAAAAATTAACTTAAGATGTATTAAAGAGATAAATGTGAGACCTCAAACTATAAGAATCCTGGAAGAAAACTTGGGAAGCATCATTCTGAACATCAGCCTTGGGAAATAATTTATGACTAAGTCCTCAAAAGCTATAGCAACAAAAAATTTGACAACTGGAACCTAATTAAATTAAAGACTTTCTGCATAGCAAAAGAGACTATCAACAGAGTATACAGGCAACCTACAGAATGGGAGAAAATTCTCAGAAACTATGCATCCAATAAATATAATTTCCATAATGTATAAAGAACTTAAATCACTCAGCAAGCAAAAAACAAGTAACCCCATTAAAAAGTGGGCAAACAATATGACCAGATACTTCTCAAAAGAGGACATACAAGAAGACAACAAACATATGAAAAAATGCTCAACAAGACTAATTATCAGAAAAATGCAAATCAAAATCACAATGAGATAACCATCTCATATCAGTCAGAATGTCTACTATTAGCAAGTCAAAAAGCAATACATGCTGGCCAGAACGTGGAGAAAGGGGAATGCTTATACACTGCTGGGAATGTAAATTAGTTCAGCCACTGTGGAAAGCAGTCTGGAGATTTCTGAAAGAACTAAAACAAACTATCATTTGACTGAGTAATCCCATTACTGGATAATATCTAAAGGAAAATAAATTTTTCTACAAAAAGGACACATGTGCTTGTGTGTTCATCACAGCAACATTCACAACAGCAACAACATAGAATCAGCCTAAGTGTCCATCAGCGGTGAATTGGATAAAGAAAATACGGTACATATACATCATAGAATACCACACAGCCATAAAAATGCAAAACTCAGGTGCTTTGCAGCCACATGGCTAAAGCTAGAGGCCATTATCCTAAGCGAATTAACACTGGAACAGAAAAGCAAATACCACATGTTCTCATGTATAAGTGCAAGCTAAATATTGAGGACACACAGACACAAAGATGGGAAAAACAGACACTGGGAAATACTAGGGCGGAAAGGAACAAGTGAGGCAAGGGTTAAAAAAACTAACTGTTGAGTGCTATTGAAACAGAAGAGTTCTCTAATCCCCCGAGCGACAGGGGTGTGGCTCACCTTTTCTGTTACCACTGCTGCTCAAACCCCTGATGGAAGGGGAAGCACACAGACAGTCAGGTGCTGGAGCTGGGACAAGTGCTTTGGGCTCTGGCAACATGGTAGTGTCTAGGGGTGGGTGCCTGTGGCCCCAGTATTACAATGCTCTTTTAGCCTTGCCATTCGCAGACAGCTTAAATGTTAACCAGCTCAATGGACCCTCTGTCGTTTTGCAAGGGCAAAGGGCCAGTGTGACCGCTTTCTGTATCCCGAGCTCTTGTCCAGCATCCCAGAAAAATTGAGTCACACACGGGCTTGAAGGATGAATGCAGGATTTTATTGAATGGTGGAGTTGGTTCTTAGTGGGATGCGTGGGGAGCTGAAAGGTGGATGGAGTGGGAAGATGTAGTAAAAATAGTTGCTAATCTATGCTGGAGTTTACTTGAATGTCACTATACCGATCGTCATCTTCAAGGACACACATGTCTTCCATCATCCTGAGCTTGCCCTCTGCTATGGGTCTTTTTCCACAGGTGTCTTCCACCTGACAACTGCCACCGTTGTCTTTGGAGCACTCTCTTACATGGACTTACAGCCTGAATCTACTGTGTTTCAAGAGCAAGAAAAGCCAGCATCCATATTTTGCGGCATTATGACTCTCATGTTAAACTTCCTTATCCACTGCCTGTGAAATTAGGAAGTAAAAGAAGCTCTACAGTTAACAAGGAAAAACTATTAATACATGTAGAGTGAGGGTAAATTACTAACACTGAGCATCAGAAGTATCCTGTGGTGAGCGCCCTGACATATTTGCTGATAGCATATTCGTCAAAGCAAGTTGCAAGGCCAACCCGGACCTGGATTCAAGGTGTTGGAGTAGCAGGCTCTACTGCCTGATGGAAAGATCTGCAACATTGCATCACAATGATATGAATGTAACAAAGGAGAAACTTGGGGACCATTTTTATAACCTACCACAACATGTTCTTACTAGAGTAAATTGTTTTTTAGCTGACACCCTTATCAGAATATGAATCATCCTGCCATAGATGTAGATATGAGAAACAAACTGAATCTCTGTAAAGGCACAATAATTTACATTTGCTCATTATCTATTAATTGTCAGGAATATATAAAGTGCTCACTAAGTAGTTGTTGAATTAATGAACAAAGAATTCAACAAATGAATTAACGAACAAATTCAAGCCTCTTTGTTTGCCAAGAGGCTTTGGTCACTGGAAAGTCCAACAATGTGGTTTATGATGGGGGCTTCAGGACATGCCATATCAGTTTTGATTTCCAGAGAACAGGAAACAAAAGGTTTTATGCTGATCCTCCAGAAAGGCTGGGAACTAAACATCAATTACATGCGCAGTATACAATCGAGCCCTGATTAAAAAAACCCTGAGTATCACAGGCTCAGGTGAACTTCCTGGGTTGACCCGAACCCAATATGCATGACAACTCCATGCATCAATTGCCATACGTTGATATGGCGAAAGTATGATGGAAACTTTATGTTTGCACCCCTCTCAGACCTGGCCTTATGTTTCTCTTTGTTTGTTGGTTTAATTTGTATTCTTTGGCTATAATAAATCTGTAATTGTATGTATAGTCTTAAACAATTTCCTAATGTCTTAATTCACATTCTATACTAAATAACCATACACTGAGTGACTATAAGTAAAAGAGGCCAGGCACAGTGGCTCACACCTGTAATCCCAGCACTTTGGGAGGCCGAGACGGGTGGATCACGAGGTCAGGAGATTGAGACTATCCTGGCTAA